GGGAAAGATAATCCCGTATGATTTTATGAATAAGAATTTTGTGTTAGAGAAGAAGAATAAGTATCTTGCATTTAATGACACTCATGAATGAGCTACTCACAAAACTAATATGTTTCACTATACTATACAATTTAATGTGATCTATAATTTTTATGCATCTAAAAGTTATTGAAGAATTCTTCAGCAAAACTGATCAAATATTTTATGAAACAGGTAGAGTACAGTGGTATCTTGGTACTCATCATTAATTGGTACTAGGAGGTGTACCAAAAACAATGAGTACCAAACAAATTTTTCCATAAGGAATAATGTAGTGAGTCACAACGCAGCTGACACCAACAACTTTAGCTTGTGCATTGAGAACCAAACAAATGATGAGTACAAGGGCAAAATTTTTGGATCAAAATGCATTGAGTACCAAATTAGATGGGTTTCAAAGCAGTTGAACCACTGTATATAACAAATGTAAAATACAATGCTTTTTAAAGGATTTTTCTCCAGTGCTGCTCTGATCTCACACAGAAAGGAAAAACAAACATTTCTATGTCCACCCATCTCCACTCCCCAGAATAGTTCTATCTCAATTTAACAACCATCCATTACATCTCATGAACTACATCCTGTAATTCATGGGCTGTTAAGATTTTAAAGCTTTCTAGTACTGCTATAAATCTCCATGTATTCTGCATCAAAGACAAGACTTAGCACTAAGGAATCATAATAAATGAAACTTGTTTAAAACTCCAGCAGCTTTAGTACTTATAATTAAGATTCTGTGTTTTGATTGGATGAATGGGTATGATTTTGGCACTGAGAAGCATGTAGGAAAACAAATTAAGTAAACATAGACATATCATGGCTCTTTTTAAAACATAGAAATAACATTTTAATTTTTAACATTTGAAATCATTTCTTTAAAATAGACCTCAGTTTTAGAGTAAATTAACTAATCAATAAAAGTACATTTTTGTCCTAACTAAATCCAAGTTGTTCCAATGGTTCGTTGAAGGATAGGATGTACTCATTCTACAAACCTGACATTGTAGCAATTCACAATAACATCAAAATAATGACATGCATGCTAGGATATCATCACATAAATGCTCCTGTTACGAACTTGATTACTGTTTGTGTGAGAAAGAGAGAGTCAATTGGCATTTTAAGCAATTTTTTATTTTTACTATATCCATTCCACCATATCCATAGCTATATACCTGTCATACAGCTTCCAGTGAATTATTCCTGAAGAACATGCTTATAGGAGTAGTAAGAACTCAAAACTAAATCCTGGTTTCTTCATTTCTCATTGTGAGACTAGAAAAGTAACTAACTACTACCTACCACAAAGTTCTTACAAAGTTTTACAATTACAATTACATTATATAAACAAACCAAAAAGTAAAAAACAATTAAGCATGCTTTTTGCATGCTGCTTTGCCTGAACATATAGATATGCATAGAAGCAGAGTTCAGCATGAACCAAGAGCAATGTAGGAAAATGAAAAATATACTTCTCTACAGAATTATAAATCATCCAGAAAAGTAACATATTTTTTGCATTTGTTATTTGAAAACACAACAGAATAAATAATATCTATAATGTCTATCAATTGCACAGTGCATGTAGTTGTACATCTGTAACCTCTTTCAAAAGAAGTAATGGCAGTCATAATATATATGGACAACAAGATGGCTATCATTCATCTTTAACTCCTATCTTACCCACTTTCATCTAGTGATGGTAGAGATGGAATCTGTTCTTGCTGATTTATTAGTTAACTGACTTGAAGGAATTTTAAATGAAGATAGGAACATTGTGCTTGATAGACTGTAGCCAATTTCCCAGTGACTCCATCCTTCTCCCTCATGCCTTATTCAGTCTAGTAAGATGGCAGTTTTCACCTGGGTCCAGGTGACTATATATTTCTCCTTACATGTCTGGTTTTAGGACTAAAAATGCCTTTGTCAAACTGCCGGATAATGTTTGCCTGAAAAAGTCAGGGGGAATGCATCATGTTGATTTTCCTGGTGCTTTCATTGACTTTCAATTGACCATGCTATCCTGGTGAAGAGATGATCTAAGCTAAGTATGGATGGAATATCTTTGTTGTGGTTCTGCTCATTCATTCCTGGACAAATGTTGACAGGAGGTTTCTGCTCAAGTCTAAGGTGTTTATAATATAGGGTTCTACAAGGATCTTTTATGTCCCATATTTAACATTTACATGAAACTGCTAAGTGAGGTCTTTTGGAAATTTGAAGTGAAGATCAGCAGTGAGCTGACAACAACATTTCAGTCTCTCTATCATTAGTGGAAATACTGAATCAGTACATGGCCATAGTAATGGACTGGATGATGGCCAACAAACTGTCATTTACTCAGAACAAGATATAGATGCTGTTAGTGGATGATTCATCTACCAATGTGGGTAGTACTCAACCTTTTTTTTGTTTTTGGAAATAAATATGGTTCCCTCTAAAGAATAAAGTTTGCAGCTTTGGAACGCTCTAAATTCATCTTTGTCAGTAGAAGCATCAGTGACCTTTGTAATATTAAGCATCTTTTATCAGTTTAGGTCAGTGATGGAGAACCTTTTAGAGACTGAGTGCCCAAACTGCAACCCAAAACCCACTTATGCATCGTCGAGTGCCGGGTGGGTGTGGCCCATTGGCTGGGTGTGGCCCACTGCATGGGCGTGGCCTATTGGGTAGGCGTGGCTGCAGTGGTAACAGCAGACTGGTGGGACTAAAAAGTTCAATCAATCAATTCCAACTTTGCAAGATCTTTCCCCCCCCCAAGAAGTTGAAATTGATTGATTGATTGAACCTTTTTTTTAATCCACACGGCAGCAGAGGCCTAAAGCGAAAAGGTTTTATAAAACCCAGCTGAAGGCCTAGGATTGGGGTAACGGGCGCGTGCCCACAGAGAGGGCTCTGAGTACCGCCTCTGGCACTCGTGCCGTAGGTTCGCCACCACTGGTTTAGGTTGACAAACCTACCAGTTATAGTCTTACCTAGATGAATATAATCTTGTTAAAGTAATACATGCAATGGTTACTTCTTGAGTTATATGTGTGACTGTGCTTGAGAAGGGTTTGGAAAGGAAAAAAACAATAGTATTGATTGGAACATGACATTATGAATTTCTAGTCTTCCTTGGTTCTTGATTTGTTTCTGGTTTCAATTCAAGTTGGCATTTGTCTATAAAGCCTTTTATGGCATGGGACCATACTTCGGTTTTTTTAGAGGGAACTTTTTTGGGGGTGGGTGGGATACCAATTATATTGGTTTTTTGTTTTTGATACTAGGTAAACATGCTTTTATTCTTCTGTGGGTTTAATCGTTTAATATATTGATTTTAAATATATTTATCATTATAAATGTTTTAATTGTATGAGATATGCTTTTGTTTTCTGATTTTAGTATTATGCATTTTAATTACTGAATGTTCAGTTTGTTTAAAAGTGTAATCTGTTTTAGACCATCCTGGCTTAAACTGGGAAAACTTAGCGTTAAAAGTTTGGTTAATTTAAAAAATAAAATAAAATTAAAAGCAAGAAAGAGGATGGTGCAATATTCTAAACCAGTGTTTCTCAACCTCAGCAACTTTAAGATGTTTGAACTTCAACTATCAGAATTCCCCCAGAATGTTGGCTGGAGAATTCTAGGAAGTGAAGCCAACACATTAAAGTTGCTGAGATTGTGAAACATTGCTCTAAAAGTGCTAAATAAAATATCTTCATCTATTTTCAAGCTGGAAATACTGATAATAATGAAATTAAGGTCAGAATCTTTCAAATTGGGGATGTTTTGTGCACTCCTATTTACTACTATTTGATAGGCAGTAGAAACAATTCACAAGCATGTAGCAAACAGCATGAATGTAGCAGGTCAGAATGAGCTGAAGCTGGTTTGGATTCTTAGCTCCCATATAAAAACCTCAATTGCAAAATATTACTCAATATGTTATTTTATTTAATGTGTTGTTCTTTGTCATAGATAGTGTTCAGTTTCATGTAATTTCTATCAATTTTTATAACAATAAAGGGTGAATCTGAAAAAAAAACCAGTATTTTTTTTTTAATATCTGAGATGGAATACTTGTTTCCCAATCATAATTCTTTAATTTATTAAATTTTTCATATTTGAGTTCATTATCTGTTTCACTAAGTATTATATCAAACATTTTTGCATTTGTAAAGTTTTTACCCTGTTAATTTGAACCTTAGTTTGCTAACATTTGAACTACATGACTCAAATATAGTTGATATTAAATATATAGTTAATGTTTATAATATTTGTTCTGTATATGTTATTTATTAAAGTTAAAAATACTTTTGGTTAAAATATTTGTCCACAGCACTCAGAACATAACAGGACAAGCTCCATGTTATATGTATATGATTTGTTTTAAAGTAAAAGGAAGTGAGGGATGAGCTGGTACTGTAGGGAATTCACTGATATTCTGTTACCCATGAATCATACTAATCAGGAGCCAGTCATTAGCAGGAGCCAGTCATTAAGGTATTATTTAATATGGTGCTATTCTAGATAATACTTACATTAAAAAGTAAGCAAAATGTGAAATATTAAGATAAAACATTACCACTCAGTATTCTAAAGTACTTATGAAGGAATAGTTTTAATAGATTTAGAATAGTGAATGTTTTTCCTGTTTAAATACTAATATTTTTCAGACATATGGCTATAACTTCCTAACAAAATGATAAGCTGTTTTTTAAGGCCAGAAATGACAAAGATCCACTTTAACCTCTTTTTCTTCCTAGAAGGTTTCTTTATGGCCTCAGGTCAGATGCTATGAGCATATTGTAGCTTGTAGTTTATACTAGATTGCAGGGCTGACACTCCAGCTGGCTGCACATAATTATAATGATTGCAGTCTGACAATTGCAGTTTCACTACAGTAATGTGATCAATATTTAAAAACAACATTACTAAGAGGCATCTCTTATAAATATATCTATTTTCATTCTTTACAGATATGACATCTGCACATATAAAAACAAGCCTTGTGGAACTCTGGGTAAGGTTCATAGTGTAAGCTAAATGAGTATTTATTTTTTAAATGTTTCTACAGATAAGATGGCTTCCCTATATTTGTCTCTTTTACATAAGGATAGATTTTAAAATATATTTTACTTTCAAAATGGAATTTTTAAATTTTATTATTTATTATTTTCAATAACTGGATTACTTTAAAAGTCTAGAACAGTATTTCTCAACTTCAGCAACTGTAAGATGAGCGGCCGTCTGCTCTCAGAATTCCCCAGCCTGCAGTGGTTGAGAAACACTGGTTTAGAAGTAATCAAAACAACATTAAGGGAAAAGGGAAACTTATACTGCTTTTTTCATTATGAAGATTAGTCTGATACATAATACAAAATGAACCCTTAGGAAATACGGTTAGAAATCAAAATGTACATTGTAAAATTGTTATATTTTAGAAAATATGAACAGCTCATGATTGCTGTAGTATCAAACCTGCTAGCGTTCATAAAGTATTCAGAAAATTTGCATGCATTTTACATTTAAGTCACTTTGCTCAGCTTTTAAATTATAATTTGCCACTCCTAATGACTGAATCATCCTGAAATTTCACTTCTGTTTATATTCTTGTTTCACTCTTAAGTGAAGCTTAAGTATATGTGGGAAGGATAAATATTCTGTTTCTGGACAGATTTTTGTCCTCCCCTCCCCCATTTCCTTACTTGGGAAGACATGTCTGCCTAGCACCTGGGAAAATACATGGGCCAGGTGGTCTCATTTTAAACTGTGCATTCAAACCTAAAATCTTTGTCCAGAAGCTATTTAAATACATACAAAAAACCAATTTCTTCTGGTGTACGGAAAAGAGTTCACAAATTCAATCTCTACAGGATTTCACTATGTTCACAGAGCTGCCTTATTACTATCATTACTATTACTATCCCGAAAGCTGAGTGCAAGAGTTACATTCTGTCCCAGGTGATGATTAGTCCTCCACATTCACAAAATTGTCATCCCTTCTCTTTGTCATTTGGAGCATGGGGCAACTATTTTGCAAATGGCAAGAATTCCCGTACTGAAATTGGGTAGAAAAGAGAAAAGGAGTCTACAAGCTTAAATAAAAAGAATGGGACAGAGTAGCGGCAATTGTTAGACCCTCCTGTAACTCCAAAGTCAGCAGAAAGAAGATAATATTTTGCAGATATATAAAAACATACATGTTCCTTTGATTATCTCTCAAGTTTGGCATTCGAATAATATTTTGTTGATGGCACTTGTCATCGTATTTCATCCTGATATAAGAATTCTATATTAAATCCCACTGTGATGAACCTAGGAATAAATTAAACTATACTTCATTAGAGCAGCCAGGATGAATTCTTCATTTATTTTATCATTTACCATTATTTAAACCAACTATTAGCAGACTTAAAAGAAAACTATAAAATATATACAACATTAAATAAATGAACTGTTTAGCATTACACCTTTATTATTCTGCTTTCTTTGCACTGATAAGAGAGAGGGCAGAGTTTTATGTATGCATATATTGTTAAATCATTATTTGGAATAGCTAACATGAGGTAGTTTGGTATCTTTATAAAGCCACTATATTTTGTATATGAAAGATGAGAGTAGTAGATCTTCTACTATTACTAATATTAACTAGCTTGATATTTCAAGAATTGGATTTCAAGAACCATGCATATGTGTATTTTTTGGCAGTAGCATTTACTATATCAGCTTTATCAGTTTTTCTTCATTTATTGTTCTATTTCATTATAGTAGCTGTTCATGCACTGATTTATAATTATAGCCTTTTCTTGTAAAATATTGTACAGTGTAAACTTATACAGATAAATAGATATGTTTATTACTTTTAAAAGCCAGCAGAAAAATAACTCAAATTTATAGAGAAATCCTATTGAATTTAATAGGATTTAGCTAAGTATATAGAACTATAATACAGGTCACTTTTATTACTGACTAAAAGGTGTTACTTAACAGAACATGTGTGAATGTCTCAGGTCTCCGTGCACAGTTCACTTGTTTTGTATTACATTTGCTTTTCATTTCATAATGCCACATTATTTCTGCTAGTGTAGATTTCTTTATCTATTTTAAGGGTTTCTTATAATTCTTTGCAATCCATTAAGACGTTAAATGTTGCATAATACTGCTGTCTAGCCAACTTGCCTCATTTTGTGTTTGCATCTGATATTTTTGATATAAAGTTCACATTTTCTCATGCTATTGAATTTCATGCTGTTATCTTGATCCAAAATTGTTAAGTGAATTTTGATTTCTCTCATGTTATCTAGTTTTGATGAGCATTCTGTTTATTATTTTATCCAGGTCACATATAAAATCTTGACTTGGACAAAACAATACAAATAAGGAAATAATTAATTGGATATTCCTTTATCAGCAAAGTTTGCTTTCCATTCAATAACAAGTTATGAGAAATTCTATATTACTGAACTTCTGGCTGGATAGCCTTTAGTGCAGGAGTCCCCAACCCCTGGTCTGTGGACCAGTACTGGGCCGTGGCATGCCAGCAGCTGTCCGCACAAACAAGCAAAGCCCCATCCGCGAGATGCAGGCAGCACACAAAACCACGATCCCTCCGATCCATGGAAAACCTCTCTCCATGTAACCGGTCCCTGGTGCCCAAAAGGTTGGGGACCTCTGCTCTACTGTACTGCAACAATAACACCTGTTTTCTGTCCTAAATTTATCCAATGCTTTTTTATTAGATATAATTTCAATCCTAAGCAGGTGAATATAACTGATGAATGTCAGTATTTTGTCTGTCACATCATGAATATATGCTTTTGGAATTCCAACAGCTCTTGAAATGAAATAGGTAGTCTAGTTGTTTTGTTTGTCTTTACAGCAGCGTATGCCTTCCTTTTGAGTTTCTGCTAAATCATTCCTATCCATTTGAGCCTAAGTATCTTCCTGTCCTGTTCCTCACCTGAAAAGAGGACTGATGTTTTTTCTGTAATGTCAGAAACACAAATGTCTCCTCTTGTTTGTGTGCAAATTTTTTCTACTTAATTCTTCTGTGTTTTATTCCTCTTTCTTACAAACTATTAGGGTTTACTGGCTCTCATCTAACAGCAACATATCCCTCCTTCCTGATAATACAAAAGTTCAAAAATATATCTCAAGCCCTTTGTTTTGGAGTCCAGAGGACGCACATGATACCTGTTTTGCAGATCACTAGGTCAGCTTCCTAAGTGTACTTGTATAGAATCATAGGACTGGAAAAGTGCTTGGTAGTCTTCTAATCCAATTCTCTGCCCAAAGCAGGAATCATCACCTCCCATCTTGGACAAATGGTTGTCCAATCTTTTTTTGAAAATCCCCAGGAATGGAGCATCCAAAACTTCAGAAAACAAGCTCTTCTACTGCTTAATAGTTTTCACTATCAGGAAATTCCTCCTTATTTTCAAGTTGGAGCTCCTTCTGACAAGCTTCTACACATTGCTTCTTGTCTTACCAGCAGGTGTTATAGAGAATGAAACAACATCCTCATGCCAGTGGCGACCCTTCAAGTATCGGACGATTGCTATCATGTCTCCCTCAGTCTTCACTTTATAAAGCTAAACATATCTAGTTCCTTTAGCTATTCTTCATAGGATTTAGCTTCCAGACTTCTTACCTTTGTTGCTGTGGTGGAATCTCCAATTAGACTGCGGGAAGAGGTCAAGAGGGGGCCAGGTTTAGAGTCATTGCACTGTGGTAAGTGGTACAGATCAGACCTCCCCAGAATCCTTGAAGCCTTAACTTGCCATTCCCAAAGGAATGGAATTAGTCTGGCAAGATTCTTGTAACCTAGTTGACTAGCAATAAGCTACGGTTGAGATTCTTTATGAGTGGTTCTGTTTGCTTTTGCCTGACAGTTTGCTCTGCTCTACACTCTTTCTACACTCTCAGCATCTTTTTGGTATTGGTATGACCAGAACTGAATGCAGTATTCCAAATACAGCTACAACAGTGCAGTACAGAGTGGTGTTATCAGTTCCCTTGATTTTGATACTATCCCCCTATTGATGCAGCATAGGACTGCATTGAATTTAGAAGATACTGACTCTCGATGCATTGAACTCTACATCTTCCCTGCCTAATTTCTACATATAACTCAGTTGTTCAAACCAAGAATCAAGAAACAATTTTACATAGCTTTTCTGCTCTAATTATATCTGCCAGCTACGATGACATCTCCCACATGCCTTTATAGCAATGTTAAATCAGGAGACTTACAGCACTTCCTCCATACTGTAGCAGCATTTAGTAGAATCCAACCCTTAATGTAGTTTTTAAAAAAGTACATAATGGGGGTTTTAAAAAACCTATTCCATGTATTTTATGACTTCTGGAGTTTCTGTACTATGGAAAACAGTGGCATAAGACTGCATAAATGATGGTCTGGGAATTAGACAGGATCACCAGCTAGAGTTGGAAACGCTTCCATGGCATTGTACAGGAATTACAGACTCCTAATTGCCAAAGATGTCCCTCTGTGATAAAAAAGCTACATATTCCAAGAAAAAAAATCAAGAGTCCCAAGAAAAAAGGTACATAAAGCAAAAAGAGGAAAGAAATAGAATTACAATTACAGTGACAAAGTTCAGAACTTTGTGGAGCAGCCTGAACAGAGAAAAAAAATAGATAGACCTAAAAGGAAACAAAAAACAATAGTCTGGATAAAGTGGTTTAAAACTGGTCATTTGTTGGGTTTGTTGGTTTTTTTTTTAGCATGATTATAGGAATTATTCCAGTCCTCAGCTATAAATGTGAATTGTGTTCATTATATTCTAAAAGTGTTAACAATATTATTTGTACTATAGAAGAAAAAGGCATCAATACATACTTTTGTCACAATGGGTAGAATTTAGAAAATTGAATGCTATCGTTATGTTGTTATCTTTAAAATTACTGGAAGGAAAACATGATTGTAACCTTTTTCTATCAGAAATTACAGTTGGTTAAAATAATCTCCATCTACTTTAGCAAAGCTTGTTTTGATTACTTTTATTTTGCCTAGTCTGGAGCCAGTGACAGTTATGTAATCTAAACATATACTTGAAGATAAAACATCAGATTATCTTTATCTCTTGTCCATATCTAATTGCTGGGAAGCTAATAGAAATCATCTATACATATAAAATTCTTAAAAACACACAGAATTAGGTCAGCTACAGATAATAATGCTATACATACATCCAGTTAACAGCTTTTTGCATACTGTAATTATAACCAAGGGAACTAAGGGGTAAGAAATGACTAACAGAGAGGATATATGCATCGTTGAGATAAAAATATTTTTAACTTGTTTTATATCAGTTATTCTCAGACTAGGTATTTCCTGGTATTTTATATAACATAGCTTCCATAACTGATCATGCTAGTTGAAGCAGATAGGAGAGATAGTGCAGAACATCTGGAGAGACCAGTTGGAATCCTGAATTATAATAATCTGCCTTGAAGGCAGAAAAGGTATAAAGCTAGGGTGAAACCATGAAATACTTGCAATTTATTCCTATAGAAAACAGGAATCTAATATTATTTTTATTTCTTTTTTTCTTTACAAACATATTGCTTTGAGTTCTAAAAGTATTCTTTTTATAGTATCCTGTAACAATATTTTTGCAGCACACATATAATCCTTAGGGATGTACATTAATGTTTTTTCCAGATAAGCATACAGTACTCTGAGAAATATATCACTAAGACTGTAGCAGATCCATTATCAGTAGCGATAATGGATTAGTCCTGCATTAAAGTATATCATGTACAATACTCCATATGTAAATGTCTGAAGCTTTTAATTCATTTTAGATTTTTTTAAGGTACATGTTTCATGCTGTAATAAAAGAAAAACATAGTGAATACAAATTAATGTTTCTTTCTCTGCAGTTGATGTACTGAGGGTTATTTTTCTCTCATAAAATTTCTCTAGAATATACTACTTGGGGATTTGGGGGTAGCTAAAATGTTACTTGTATGTTTTATGAACCCACTAAACTTAAAACCATTCTGTTTGGAAAAGTAACATGGACACATTTTGCTTTCTGCAACCTCAAAAATGTTAAAATAGAAATGCTTGCTTGAATTCCCTCTCCTGGCTCAAGTTACTAGGTGGTCCCAAGTTACCAGAAGCAAAATTTATAAATCTAACCCCTAGTCTAGACATTTTCCAGCAATGACTGCAGTTCAAAAAATATTAATGTCTAGCCGGCAAAGTGAAGTTCCCCCCAGTGATTTTGCAAGGGCTACAAAGTTAACCTTTTGCCAACTGCTGCTTTTAGGCATGGAGGTTATTAAAAAGAATCCAGGCATTTATAACTAAAGCTTTTAAGACTGAAACACGTTGGCATGACCCTTTGTGTCTCCTTTTGTTTGTTCAGGCTTGGCCTCTGTTGCTGGAATGTGTGAGCCTGAAAGGAGCTGTAGTATTAATGAAGACATTGGCCTTGGCTCTGCTTTTACCATAGCCCATGAGATTGGTCACAAGTGCGTATATTTTTAAACTTTTAATAAGTTTAGTTTAATTATCTTAATTTGCCCTCTTATCTTGGCTGCCTTTTCTGTAATCTATTTATTTGTTTTGTTGTTGTTTGATTTCATCAACCATATGAACTTGAAAGAGTTATTACTGCAGCACATATATATCATTAATGTGAAATTGCTTCTAGTTGTATCACTTTAGCATAAAACCTGTTACAGTGTATTGCTAAAATACCACAAAATAAATCATAAGCATGGAGAAATACTATGCAACAATTGTACAACTATGCTGTAACAACAGTACAGTTCAGAATATATATTTTGAGACCGAACTCAAAAATTGTTGCTTACCTTTTCATTTCAGAATCAGATTATATAGTACTACTGATAACAATGTTTCAATTGGAAACACATTGAAAGCTGCTTTAACCATGTTTAATTTACATGATTTAATCATATTATTTTTAATTGATTATTTTCACTGTTGGTGTTCACTGTTGCAATATCAGGATCTCCTAAAATGAATGAAACTATAGTTAATGATAAATAGACCACTTATAATAAAATTTAATCTAAATATCATAGAAATTTTTGAATGTTGATGCCCTCTATTTATTGTAGACATGCACAGTGAAAATGAACAGAGCTTAGACGAAGTTTTGATAGTACTCACCTTTGATCTGCATAAACCTGATTAGATGTTTTAATTCACTTGAAACTTCCTGCTAGCATTGTCATATTACCAATGAGCTAATGTGTAGGGGATGTCGAAATGTGTCCTGTAACAGAGTGACCTTAACCATGTGATACACTTATCTAATCCAAGATGGAACCCATGTGCAAATAATGCAACTGCAAAGTGACAATCATTTTGTCATTATCTTCGTCATCATGTTTGTACCAGATGCTTAATCTGAGAGGGATGATCCATAGTTTGAGAATTCCTGTTGGAAGTTCATTTTAATTCAGTGCAGAAATGGGGATGGGGCCAGATTTATTCAGTTGCTAGTATTTCATGCTGACATATTGCTAACACTTAGAATTCAGGAACAAAGAAGCAATGGCTTTTAAGAAATATGTACAGTATGTTGCCATACATAAAACATACATCTTGTTAACTACACAGGAAATAAAATAAAGAGTATTCTTGCAGTTTTTAAATCAGCAATGATAGTTTAATTTTAAGTAATGTTTGAGGAAGAAAAGTCAACTGAAGCCAAATTTTGTGGCATTAATTTTTTACATTTTAGAAGTCATCTTGGCATAATGAACTGTTTCTTCAAATAGAAACAAGTCACCATTCTTAGCAGCTTACTATTCTATTGTTACATTTGATACTAAGGGCAAAACAACAGTTACATTCCAATACATATTTAGAGAGCAATAAGTGCCATTGAATTTAGCAGAATTAATTATACATGTAGAAATTACACAGCTGAAATTCATCTAGAATATTCAGTTCTTTTTTCTGTGATTTTAATATATTAGAAATCTTTATCTCCATTTCTCTTTCCTCACTATTTTGATAAATCCAATAAATCTCTATCATGTCTTTTCTTCATTTTACAAAACTAGACACATTTAAGATTATGTTACCATCTTTTAGATGATGAAACTGAACAGATTTCAAGAGTCGTTGCAAACTGCTTCAGGGAATTACATGCTAGATGTCTCAAATTTGTTATGCATTTTATTTTAGATCTTTATTTATTACAGTAATTTGACATACAGTGTAAAGATTTCTTAAAAGGACTGGGATAAGGAGGTATAATGAATGAAATAGTATTTTTTATAATTTCTCTTCTATACTGATAATTCATCTCAAAAAGCGCAAAGCAAGACTTGAATATCTGGTACTGAGGACAAAGTTCAATTCCAATTCTACATTCTTTCAGTTCTGACATAAGAGAACATAAGTTGGTGCAGAAAATAAATATGCAGATGTACATGGAACGATGAATAAAGAGTGGGAGTGGGGGATTTCAAGTGGAAATCTTCATTGTGCACATTTTCCATGCATCATTATGGAGTAGAACACTTGTTCCAGTTCAGATATGTTGAAAGTCGGAATTAATGTATTATTCTAAGGGGGCAACAACAGCAAACCAAGACAAGGAAAATGGAAAGGGTGGGAGTTATATAGCAGTGTGACAATGAAAACCAGTTGTTTGGAATTATTTCCAATCAGATAATCTAGCAGAGATACATGTTAGTCTCTATTTTTTCTCCTGTACATGTATGTATGTATATATGTATTTTATGCCTGGAGAAAGGATTTAATTTGATATATGAAGGATCTTTATTTAATGCATTTATGTCCCATATTTCTGTTTATTCCAACATTCTTGATAGCTTATATAAAACATACCTTAAAAATAACAAAATAGTACAGTTAAAATTAAAATAACCAACAATTAGAAATTTGGTGAAAGACATACATTTTATTACATATCTAAGAGCCAAACATAACTCTTTAGGGAGCATATCCTTAAATATTAAAGAGATCCAAAGAATAAGATCCTTTCTCATATATATATATATGATGATCAAATTTCTAACAGAATGGACAATCCTATTGATCTAAATTCCAGAGCATTTTCATAAATGAAGATGCAGTCCCACAGATAATTAGGCTTTAAGTCATTTAGACTCATAAGACTAACACCAATCCTTTTAACTGTGCCCATTAAGCAATTGCTAGCCAATGCAGTTATTTTAATGTAAGTATCATGGGACTTACATCTTACATTAGTCAGCTGTCTTCTGCTGCATTTTTCACCAATTACAATTTGTAGACATTGTTGAAAATGCATAAAGCATAGTGGGGTAGCTGAGAAGATTGTGATCAAGACATGAATAATTGCCACTAAGTCTGACCAGTCCAGGAAGGCTCACAGCATCCTAGTCATAATAGCTCAGATATGCTCCTTACCACAGCTGCCATCTGTAAATCCAGTGATAGTTGGTGAAAAAGTGCTCTTCTAATTGCAGAGTACATCTTCCTGTGGGAGGGCCACCATCCAGATCAAGCTTTACCTTAATTGCAGAAGTAATTATATCTTATCTTATCTTATCTTATAATGGGCTGGATAAGATATGTTATATCTTATCCAGCCCATTATTGATATTGATATTCAAGGGTACTGATTGCCTTGACATTAGAAGGCAGAGAGCCCTAGATTTGGTGTCCTCAGCATACTAATGGCATCTATTCCAAAGACCAGAACTACTGCAAAACAATGAGCTCAAACCACAGTTTTGAGACTATGGGCAGTGGAAGTAAAAGCTAGCAAGGAGAACTAGAAAAGTCATACTTCCATTTGCTTTCTGGTGATAAAAACCAAGTATTCAGCAAGAAAACATAATAGAAGGAAAGGATTTAACTATGTTTCTGTTACAAAACCATTGTTTTCTATGACGTTTAAATTCAGCCAATTTTAATAACACTTATGAGAGTGGAATAACATCTAGCAGAAATATTTGTAACTTGATGATTAATGACTGTGTTAAAGTATCTCAAATATTAGAACAAGATGACAAATTGTAAAAGGAAGACATCCTTGAGTTACTGCTGTAGTCCAATTTACTTCAATGCATCTGAAACAAAAGAAGCGACCAAATAATACATACTGTATGACATTCAATACACTGCCAGTTTTGCTTCTATTAAAAAGTTAAAGTCAAGTGTTTTGGAAGCCAATATGCATTTGGGACTGTTATGTCTGGGAATGCAATCTTGAAAAAAAAAATTGCCCTTCATACGGCAAATAGCAGTAAAAAATACATACATACATTTTTGTTAGAATCAATGAGTATTTTCCTGCTACCTTTTCTAGTGGAGGAGACTATTCTTCTATTTTAAAAAAGGCACTTCTGAATAATTTAAAAATGATGTATATTGTTTCAATTAATATGAAATATTATCTAGGTTTTTTTTGAAAATCTTCTTTTAACCGCTTTATATTTTTTTATTTATTTTGTCCTTAAGTAAAGATTCTAAAATGGTAATCTTTGTTGGCACAAAATCAGATAGGATTATGCTGTCAATATGGTGAAACATGTACAGTGAAATGAACTATGTAGACATGCTAATAATTTTGTGTTAATAACTCTCATATGTACCGGTAACTTATATATATATCCCTTTATGTACCTCATTCCCTCAGAACATTTTTCAGTATTCAGTTGATATGAAATTTTATATTGTATTGTTGCATTTGCTGTTTCATATAAAAACAATAGTTTCTCTTCTCTCCTTATTCTTTCTGATAGTTTTGGTATGAACCATGACGGAATTGGAAATTCTTGTGGAACCAAAGGTCATGAAGCAGCAAAACTTATGGCAGCTCACATTACAGCAAACACCAACCCCTTTTCGTGGTCAACCTGCAGTAGGGATTATATCACCAGTTTTTTGGAGTAAGTATTATTTCAAGGCAATTATAAATTCTGTGGGGGGGATTCAGCCATATTTATACTTTGCTAGTGTGAATAATAATGCTAGAGAATATGTAGTCATAAGCCCCAATCCAGAAAAGTATGCAAAGTGGATGATCAGCACTGTCAGATTTGCTCGTACTATTTTGCTGTACAGAATCAGAAAATAGAATGGAGTAGAAAACAGGAATCACTACCAAATATCATTTAGGATGAACATATTAAGTGTTAATATTGACGGTGCTGCCCATCATTATGCAAGAACTCCATCTTCAGGTCTTGGATGTCATTGTTCCCTTATTCTGCCCTCACTATATATAGACCTCATATGTCATGTTATGAAAGACTTGTTTGCCTTTTTATTTAACATGTTTACTTCATTCATATGATTAAATGACATTTGACTTTAGCATTGTAGATGATGATGGTGATGATTTGGCCAGAGCAAAAGTCTCTACTTTTTCTATGATGTTTGAGAAAGGATATGCTTGGAGAAAATATTTCTAATTAAGCATTGATTTGGGAGACAGAATTGAATTTATTTAAATAATAGAAAAGGTGTTATATACTTTGGGATCAGAAGCCCAAATTACATCATGGGTTTTAAAAACACACACATTTTTTTCCTTAAACATTTATGATTGGTAATAAAAGAAAACAGAAGGAGGAAAAAGGTGAAGGAGGCAGGGTAGACAGGAAAGGATGAAATAGAGCTGAAGAAAACATACTGGGGTGGTTGATGAAGAGTGAGCAGGGCAGTAGTCAAAATTGGAGGACTAGAGGAAGAAAAAAAGCAAAGGAGATAACCTTAGTAAGAAAAACAGAAAAGAATACCCAGGAACTCATTTTTTTAAAAAAATTGATGGCTAGGTATGTTTTGCCCTTCTGTTAGTTAGTAGACATTAATTAAAAGATAAATTTATATCTATTTTTAGATCCTTTTTATAGATCACTAGGAATTTAAGATTCTTAATAATAGCGACAACAAAATGTAACTTTCCCCTACTTGCTGTAACTTATGTTACTGTAAAAAAAAAAATCCTAATGGATGTGGAGCACCATTAGTTTCATTCAGTCTTGCTACCTAACAAAATATTCCCTGGCTCCAATTTCTGTAACTCAAAAGTAGATTGTTGTATCAGATCCCTGGTTAGTTGAGTAATATGTTATATGTGTACCTGAACCTGGTTTATCACTACTTCTTTTTCACCCTTTGCAGTTAAATAAATGTCACCTGAAAGAATTATTGTAGAAATGTTATATTCCAATAGAAGAGAATATTTAATAGTTCAATAGGTTGTTCTCTAACGTGGTTATTTGCTTGCAGATATCACATTACCCAACATCTTATGTTATGTAGTCGGGTAATGAGATATCCGCAAGCAAACAACCAAGCTTAGAGACCACTAAGGCCTCCAAATGTTCAATTGCTTGAGGAACTAATTTTAACAGTTCATTTAGTTTATTATTCATTTCTGTTATAAATAATTTATAGATTGAAAACTATTTTTATTTCCATTCATGTTGTTATGGCAAGATTTTGGGGTCAGATGGATGATTGGCAATCATTCAGAACTTTCTTTAATTACTTCGTACATTACGTGTATTTGACTTGTGGCCACAAGATGTGTCTGCATAAATATATGGGTGAAATGTTTTTTTTTAAGGGTTTAGTTTTGAGCCTCAAATGAAATAGTTTTCTGACTTAGTTATTCTTATGTAGGAAGATCTCTGCATTCTTCAAAAAGATATGTTTGTATATGTGTTTTGTCTTATTTATGGTTAAAATGGTCTTTAAAATTTAAGTTCATAAAATAAACCTTTATTTAACTAGATCTAGACCTAATAAAGAAGAATTAGGTCAATCATCTATTGAGATAAGTTTGATATATGCTGAGTTCTTTTACCTAATTACTGTAGCTACTATAAATACACATACTTTCTGAAGTTATTCAAGAAATGTCCACAAAAGTAATGTTAACGCTGAAAGTATTTAAGAAGTATTAATCTGCACTTATAAATGAATTTTTAAAACTGTCTTTTCTTAGACTGCATAAAGTTTGGAGGAAATATGGAATTTAAGGTAGGGGTTCAATGCTTGATCATGAATTCACTGATGGTCTTCAGCAAAGTAATTTTACCTGATGTTATCTACAAAAAGAAAATTCGGTGAACTCCTAATCATTGATATACAATGACATTCTTGAGGGGTACACAAAATAGCATTTTTATAAATATTTTGCAAATGAGAAGTTATGCAGTAATGATCCATAATAGGAAAGCATTTCTATTTTCTATAATACACGTGTATTTACATAGCTGTAAATATAGTTAGGACTTTGATTTGTCTTCAGATCATATAAATCTTTCACCTTTTTACTAAAGAATAGTATTCTTGATTTTTTTTGTTGGACAGTTCAGGCCGTGGTACTTGCCTTGATAATGAACCTCCGAAGCGTGATTTTCTTTATCCTGTGGTGGCCCCAGGTCAGGTGTATGATGCTGATGAACAATGTCGCTTCCAATATGGAGCTGCATCACGCCAGTGTAAATACGGGGTAAGAGCTCTAAATCCTTATACTATATTAACTGTCCAAAGTAGTCACTTACATATATTTCATCCTGACATAAAAGTTTATTAACATATAAGTGTTTGTAGTTTTCTACTAGTAATTTGATTGTATTATTGTTTCAAATAAGGAACATCAATTTTTTTATGCTGCATCTTTTGCTTGAGTTGTTTGTATGTATTTTATACCTAAATGTTTGAACTGAGCATTTTTCCTCAAAATCAGTTGGATGATCTTAGAAATTTAGCTAACTCAGAACAGTTACCTGTAGAAATGCTGCTAATGACAAAGTTATAATATGTTTAAGTACAAACCTCAGGATACATCTTTCTTTAATATGAAATGATTTTGTATAGTAAACAATTTTAATTATGTTATGTATTATACTTTTTTGCTTTCTCTCATGGCATTATTAGTGATTATGACAATTACCATTATTACTGTTAACTACTGCAATAATGAGTTTATTAAACTCATTATTACATTATTATAATTGAGTTGGGTTATGAATATATTCCATCCCTTGTATTCTTTAATAAAAGAATTGTTTATTTATTTTGAAAATGCCATTCTGGGTGGCTTCCACATGCATTAAAAACCAACATCCAAATATAGTAAGGTTATAAAAAAATCATTAACACAAAATAAACTTTTAGTTATTTTACTAATACTTAAGAACAGCTTGAAATAGCATTTAGTGGTTTTTATAAGCTAAAGCATCACTTACAATGATTCTGTCACCAGTAGGGTTTAAATATGAAAATGGTATTAAAATGGTATTTTGTAGATTTGTTGCCAAGTTACATATTATTTTATATACTTTTTAAATAAAATATTTTTTGAATGATAGTGTTTTGTCGGGTCTAAAAACTACATATAATAATTTACCTAATCATTTGCAATAATCACTTCTTTTAGAACCACAGTACAAAAGGAATTCATTTTTAATATCCCGAGGGTGATAAGTACAATATTATTCTTGGGATGAATTTTGGCAATTCATATAGCAATAGATTTAAAAGTTTTTTTGTGGTTGGCTGACTAACTGTTAGTTCTTGATTTTTTCAACAAAAAGCCTGTATTGTTTCTATTTAAGTTTCTTTTACTTACTTCTGTTTCTGTTTTTCTTCTCTTGAGGTCCACATACTTTCATAAACTCTTTTTGCTTAGTTATCCCATTTTAGGTATATTTAATAATAGAAAGGTGCAGTCATTTGACTTTGAGGTATGATTGACATTGAAAAATCAGCAGTGTACATATTATCTTTGAGAAATAAACTCAGACTTTTCATTAGCTTCTCAAATAGTGCATTTATCTGATTATATCTTTGCAACAATTTTGTGAGATAAGTAAGATTTCAAAATTCATAGCTGTACAGACTTACCCAGTGATACGCATAGTTTGTGATCTAAACTAGATTTCCCAAGTTCTAGATTGACACTGTTAAGTATTGTGCTCTCTTGGATCTAAATTCTATACCACTTTCCCTTCTTAACTAATTTTAAACTAATAAGAGATTAAAAAGATAATTCTTAACTAATATTGGTACAAAAACAACTTACGGTAGAATGGTGACTTGCCTTGATTGGATATTTGTAGGCTGACATAGCTACCTTCTTCCAAGTTTCCCTACAGTTGGATAGAAAACATTATATTCTTTTTCTGCAGAGTTTTGTGTGACAAGGACCAATGCCTTTTTTCCCCCAGCTATTGTTTTCTATGTTTCTATTCCAACTTTTCTGTCCACCTATCTGAAAGGTATAAGTGATACTTAGGATGGAGGTTAGTTGTCAGTTCCTGGAGTTCTTCTTGTTTTGACATTATTCATTATTTCGAAATGACATACTGTTTTATTAAAATGAATTGGGAAGTATCAGCACAAAACACAATGGCTAGAATTTACATGGGAACAGCTCCCTCATAACATATCTTGCTCATCTTGAAAGGATTTAGTAGCTGTTTATTCATTTATATGCCAATGCAAATTGCATATGTTGACATCTAAATGATTTGGTATCTAAGTATAAAAAACAGTCTCTTCCTACCTACAAATTAAGGCCAGAGATTAATTGCCCCATTTAAATGTCATGTCTTCATCTGCAATATTGCTTATATCTATAACAGAGTATCTTCTCAGCTATGCAATCTTCCTTGAGAAGGCATTCCTGGTTTCAACTTTTTTGTTTTTTAGTCCCAGACAAAATCTTTATTATCCATCTGATGCAATTAAAACAAATAAGCCCTTTCAGTATACTAGAAGTTGTTGATGAACGTTTAAACTGAATATTTACCTGCTGCTTCTTCTTTTCTTATGCTTATTGCTTCAGCTTTTATTTTAACTATACAAAATGATTTCTACAAGCATATGAATTCTTAAATAAAAGAATTATGAATTGAGTCAAATGAATCACATACCCAGTTTATTTCAGACATCTAGAAATAAAAAATACTGTATCATATAACTTGCCAGGGATTGTTTTAGTTAAGCATAATTTTTGAGAGTAACTAGAACTTCACTTCTTGTAAAATCGCTGTATAGATCTTTTATCTATGAAAACGTCATAGAAAACAGTTGATCAATTACATACCGTGTTTCCCCCAAAATAAGACCCGGTTTTATATTTATTTTTTTGCTTCCAAAAGAGATATTCGGTCTTATTTTTGGGGGATGTCTTATTTTTTTTCCAGGAGCTGCCCTATCCGCCCTGCATCGGCTTACCGTGCCTCAGGGCTCCTGCTGCCACCACTGCGAGGCCCATTGTGTTGTAGCTGCCGCCACGAGGTGCATCCTGCTGTCATTGCCACCCGCCGCCACAAGACATGCCCTGCCACCATGAGGCATGTCCTGTTGTTATTGTTGCCGCCGCGAGACACATCCCGCCGTCATTGCCAACACCACAAGTGCATCCTGCCATTGCTGCCGCTGCTGCAAGGTGTGTCCTGTTGCTGTTGTTGCCACCACGAGGCACGTTCTGCCGCTGTTGCTGCTGCTGCAGCGAAACATGTCTTGCTGCTGTTGCTGGCGGCGGCAATGGGACACACTTTGCAGCAGCACAATGCGCCTCACAGCACCAGCAACAGCAACAGGATGCATCTTGGGGTGGCAATGGTGACAGGTTGCACCTTGCAGTGGTGGCAATAGCAGCAGAACACAACTCATGATGGCGGCAATGGCGGCACAATGCAATTTGTGGAGGCAACAGCAGCAGGAGCCATGTGGCAGTGTAAGTGGGTGTGGGGAATGTGGGGAAGCTTCCCCCTTCCCCCACCTCGCGTCACCTCATGTCTTAGCAAATAAGTAGGGCTTATTTTCAGGGTAGGGCTTATATGAAGCCCACCCCAAAAAATCAAGCTAGGGCTTATTTTTGGGGTCAGTCTTATTTTCAGGGAAACACAGGAAATCACTTTGTTTTTGTCTCTCAGCAACCACATAGTTAATTTTTTCTCCAGGAAGAATAGTTTAATACATAAGGTCATTTACCTATAACATGTCTGATTAACCTGAATCCATGACTAGTTAATATTCATGATTTCTTTTTCCTTTTTTTGCTGTTTGTTGGATAGTGATGCAGGATTTAGGGATTTGAGGACCAAGCAGTACTTTCAGCACTGCTGCTATAACTGCTATATTGCCGATTATAAATTTCTAAAAAAATACAGACTGAAATGATATCTTGAAGAATGCAATTAATGACTTTAATGCAGCAAAACATCAAAATAAAAAACTGTAGCCTATCTATGTTATATTATATCATGTAATTCATTAGGCTTGTGCGTGCACACTTCAAAAACAAAATGAAAGAATTACTTCAGATTTCATACGCACAGTGCTTTTTTTCTTAAAAAAAAAAAAGGCGCTGGAACTCACACACCTTGCCTACCCTACAAGGTTCCATCCAAAAAAGGTGCCGGAACTCTATTCTGGGCGTTCTATAAGAAAAAAAGCCCTGCATACTCACAAAGTATTCTTCTGCATTTTAAATCAGATGAACCTTGTTCTGACTTTGCACAAGGTGCTGTTGGTTAAACAGCATCCTTTTTTCAGGTTGGCACAAAATCCTGATTATAGATCTCATAAGATTGAAGTGTGTTAACGGAAGAAAGAAAAATTGGGTTCAGAATGATCAGGCTTAGAACAAATGTGTTTGTTTTTGCTTGTTTCACATTTACAAACTTAAAGTTGAGATGTGAAATGTATTTTTAGAACTAAGTACGTTACGCATATGGTTGACTTGTTATAGTACTTTTGACTATCTGTAAAACTCTTTACAATTAGTACTGAAGTTGCAACAGAGTTTGGGTATTTCTATTTCGCAATTCTTTTATAGTACTTTTCATAGGCCATTGGCAGGTTGTGTGTGTGTATCTTTATATATTATTCTTAGCTCCAGGTATATTTTTTGTAAGCATACATATTTTTATAGTGAAATCAGAAATATAGTCTAATCCTTAACCATCTATAATGTCAGGCATTTTATACGTGTTTGTTAGTGTTTATAAATTCCAAATCAGTACAATAGTGCCACTTAAGAAAGGGAAATTATGAAGCCTATTAATGGAGATGCATGCTAGTCCTGAAAACATAATTAACATGAGTAAAAATATTCTGAAAACTGCTGAATATTTGTCAGCCATTTGAGGTACACTAGGACAGGAAACTACTATAGTTCCACAGGAACTACTATAACTTAATTTATTGCTGAATTGTTTATTGAAAATCTTAGTTTTACTTTACTTTCTTTATATACTAAAGAGAATCAAGATAGGTTAGACTTGAATTTCTTCTTCACTTCCTCTTTCTTTTCATGGCTAAGCTGATGTTTTTGTAATGACTGCTATATCTTTTCTTTAAAGGCTATTTCCATATTTCTCTATACTTGAGTTGATAGAAGCATTCCTGGCATCTGGATTTTAGTTTTCTTATAGAGTCTTACATGAATCAAATATTTAGAAAAGGAGAAATGACTGCACAGAAATCTAAAACACA